AAATAGTTACCTCGTCCAGCAATACACTGCTAGCAGTTCTGTGTGGTAAGATTACCAGAGAATATAAGTACTTCATCAAGTCCCTCCTGGTTGTATTCAAGACTGGATCTAGTCCTACACAGGCCCGACGTGGTTTAAGCATGACACACTACATGACTGGTGGTAAGTCAAGACTTTAAGATAGTATAACTGACGATACAAGGTTATATCTTGTATGATGACACACCAGATGGTTCATGGTAAGTCAAGACTTTCAGGTAGTTTAACGGGTGATACAAGACAAGGTTATATCTTGTGTGATGGTACACCAGATGATTGATGGTAAGTCAAGACTTTAAGATAGCCTTAACAGATGATACAAGGTTATATCTTGTATGGTTCATGGTAAGTCAAGACTTTCAGGTAGTCTAACGGGTGATACAATACAAGGTTATATCTTGTGTGATGGTACACTAGATGGTTCATGGTAAGTCAAGACTTTCAGGTAGTTTAACGGGTGATACAAGACAAGGTTATATCTTGTGTGATGGTACACCAGATGATTGATGGTAAGTCAAGACTTTAAGATAGTCTAACAGATGATACAAGGTTATATCTTGTATGGTTCATGGTAAGTCAAGACTTAAAGATAGTCTAACAGATGATACAAGGTTATATCTTGTATGATGATACACCAGATGAGTGATGGTAAGTCAAGACTTTAAGATAGTCTAACAGATGATACAAGGTTATATCTTGTATGATGATACACCAGATGATTGATGGTAAGTCAAGACTTTAAGATAGTCTAACAGATGGTACAAGGTTATATCTTGTATGATGATACACAAGATGATTGATGGTAAGTCAAGACTTTAAGATAGATAACAGATGATACAAGGTTATATCTTGTATGATGATACACCAGATGATTGATGGTAAGTCAAGACTTTAAGGTAGTCTAACAGATGGTACAAGGATATATCTTGTATGATGGCTGTAACAATGTGACGCTAGGACGAGGACCAACAATAGACGACTGAACAGCACAAGTTTAATTGAGACACTGAGTGCGATGTGTACAAGGTGACACGGTTCGCAAGAAGCACGTGCGAGGCAGGCACATCCGGGTAGGGGTCCGGTCCGGCTCGCCTGGCTCAGTATACATGTAGAATGTGTGCAGGACTCTTCTCATTACGTCTCCCCTCTCAAGTACTAAACTTCTCCAACTGGGCTCAGTTGTTCAAAACTTGGTTATCTTTTATCCAGCCGTTAAGTACATTTAACCGACCGACCGTTAACTAATAACAGAGGGTTATCTTGTTGTTCAAAACTCTGTTAACTTTAAACAGGTTGTTAACGTGACGTAATGTTAACACACCTAAGGGCCGCCGCTAACTTTATAACAGTGTGGTTAAGTTGCAAATGGCGTTCATGGCTAACACTGCTTTCATGAGGCCAGTTCAGCAAAGAAAGGATAGGGTGTATCGTGGACTGGACTTCGATACTGGAAATTATTCTGACGAAGAGTTACATACGAAACTGTAACTATGCACTTCATAGGAACTAAACTACATGTTGTACAAAAACATGATGCCTACGTTTCATCTTTTAACACTCGTGTAAAGGTTTATATATGTTTTACTACACTAAATGTGTGAATTTCTTCTGTAAATATTATTTAAACAAACACTTTGAAAGAATCAAACACGTACACCCTATACCCACGTATGATATGATATTGAACAAGACTAAATGTAGATAATTAAATTAGTTTCATGAAAAAATATCCGAATGATTACATTATGATACTAAAAGTGCAATCGGCGGGATATGGTGATTGTGTATACTCTTATTCTACCGACCTTCACCTCAGAGAAATTTCCAAATATGTACAACAATGTTGACGTATGACATCACTACCGTTGAGATTTCTTTAAAAAATGGCGGCTGACTTGGGTTTTGCGAGGACCCTTCCCTTGATTAGGGATCGTTTGTACATAAATATGAGATGTAAGTAATCAGAATGATTCTGACTATCTGTGTACTGTTACATGTTTTTATCGTTTTCATTTTAAGAAAGAGAAGAAGCGGACAGAAATGCCGATTATTACCGTTGTCGTTCTGCGTGATTTTGCGTCAGTCATGGCGTCACGCTGTACAGAAAATTGACATTCTAAAATGTATGAGGAATTCAGTAGGGCTGGGACGAGTAGGGAAAAAGGGAATGGAGTACCCGCATGTACTTACCCGAATCGGAATCGAGTACCCGGAAATGTAAGAAATACATTCGGGTCAACCTCTGAATATTCAATCACGATTTGACAGAGACTATTATAGAAAACTTGAAAAAGTGGTAATAAGACATTAAAACTGACCTCAAGCTATTTCATTTACGTCTGTTTAACCAATATAAGAGTAACACCATTACTTACACTCCTCGTTATAACAACGAACGTTTCGTTCCTGCTGTTACTGTAACTTGACTACTCACTGCACCTGCACAGATAAATTACAGTCATGAAAACTATGCTCCATTAATCGGACAATACCAATGATGTAAAACCCCGTGAATTTCCGGGTTAGAATATTGATCTTCAGTAACCCATGCTTGTCGTAAGAGGCGACTAACGGGATCGGGTGGTCAGACTCGCTGACTTGGTTGACACATGTCATCGTATCCCAATTGCACACATCGATGCTCATGTTGTTGATCTCTGGATTGTCTCGTCCAGACTCGATTATTTACAGACCGCCGCCATATAGCTGGAATATTGCTGAGTGGGGCGTAAAACTAGACTCACTCACTCACTCACTCACTCACTCAATGATGTAAATGTCAAACAAACTATTGTCTGCCCTTGTCATTACAGAGCTCTCTCCCTTTCCGGGTACCCGATTCCTAGAAATAGGACTCGATTCCAGCTGTACCCGACCCGGATTCGAGTACCATAGTACCCGTCCCAGCCTTAGAATTCAGTGATGCATTTGTCGCCGCTGAATATTAAATATATGTGATGTAATTGGCGTCTCAATACAGGCCTTCGCGAAACGTTGTGAGTTGTGAGTGATATGCAGGCCTACTTCGTAGTCGCTTTGATTAAATGTTATATTTGAATATCGAAACTTTTTGTCACAGCGAACACAACACTATCTCTTGTCGTTTTACACGATAATGTCTGGAATTTTACACTTACTTTATAAAAATATCTGAATGCTTATGTTATACACTGATGTATTTTATATGAGGAATACAATGGCACAATAGTATTTCTCTGCCGAATCGTTGCAGCGTTCTATAATACACTTATGAAATATAATACATGTTTTCCGTCCTTGAAGACATTGAAAAGAACTATCTATGCATTTTCTATAGTCACTTGTGAATTGAACTAAATGGAGGTTCATCTGATCAATGAGTATCGAGGAAATTATGTTCATCTGCTACAGCGTTCTATAATACACTTATGAAATATATTCTCCCAAAAAAGAAACGCATCATGAAAATAGAAATTTCATGTAGCAATGAATTAAAACGTTATTCATTTTACAAAAGGTTTTGCTCTGTTTATGAGTCCTATGGTGTTTATGTTTTGAAACATCACAACAAAACGCACCATCAGTACAATACCCGTATTTAACAGCATGATTTTCAATTTCGGCGTGTAGTGTCACAGAGTACACAATTCACATGCAATGCACGTGAAAGTTTGGGATCAGATAGTCTCAGTGATGGGTATAAAAAGATGATCGCTGTCTGTCGATTATTCACTGTATTTGGAATATTGTTGACGAACGCAAAATGCCACGTCTAAGTAAAGCCAACCGTCATATCGCCATTGGTTTGCTTGAAGCTGGCCAGTCTCAACGTGCAGTTGCCCGACGCATGAATGTTCACCAAAGCACCATTTCACGGCTCTGGGAGAGATATCGCCGGCAGAATGCGGTAGCAGATGCCCCTCGTATAGTGGGCGACCTCGAGCGACCACTGCGGCGCAGGATCGCTACATCCGGGCACATCACTTGCGTCATCGAGCAGCTACGGTGACCAGTACCGCTCGACAAATACCCGGACTGAGGAGGCTTTCTGCACAGACCGTCAGGAACAGGTTGAGAGAGGCTGGTTTACGCGCCAGAAGACCTTATTTTTGCCCTGTGCTTCGACAACAACATCGTCGACATCGAGTTCAATGGTGCACCAACGTGTTGGCGTAGAATCTGGTTCAGTGATGAATCACGATTTCTATTGGAACGACGCGATGGAAGAATGCGGGTGCACAGACGTCGACGTGAACGTTTCGCCGACGCTTGCGTTCCCCAGGTGGACAGATTCGGCCGGGGAAATGTTATGATGTGGGGAGCTATCACCTGCCGTAGGAGATGTGATTTGGTGATGATCCAGGGCAACCTGACAGCTCAACGGTACTGTGACGAAATCCTACGCCCCCACCTCCTTCCAATCATTGATCGCCAGAGGGAGTTGTTTCAACAGGACAATGCCAGGCCCCACACAGCACGTCACACTAGAGACTTCCTCCAGAACCACAACATCAATGTGCTTCTGGCCCAACTATAGAGTTGGTCTCAACCATTGACTGGATTACATTCTCATCGTCAGCAGAGAAATTTCGACTTCTCTTTTTCCTTGGGGTGCAGGCGACATTTCGCGATTCCATTTTTTGGTAATCCGGAAGTAAACAGAAAAAGGAATTGTGGGATATATGAAAGCCAACCAGTGACGTTAACCACACTATTAAACTTTGACGGCGACGTTAGCTCAACGGCATGACTAACCATGTTTTGAACAACGCATATTTAACGTTCGGTTACCTAACGGCCGGTTAGGATTTAATCGGCCGTTAGGAGTTAACCGGCGGTTAAGATAACCAAGTATTGAACAACCGGGCCCTGGTTGGGAACCATGTGAAACGACGGAGACATCACAGACACAGGAGACGTCACAGACGATGAAGATGGACTCGACAACGATGGAGTTGTAACATCAGCGGTTCGAGCTCTCTTCACTGGTCCAGGTGTGCGTGGTGACAACAGAATATCACGACGATTCTGTCGAAGTTGACTACCACTATCTGTCTGAACATTGTAAGATCTTGGCCAGCGTCCTGAACGACTGTACCACGTTGTGACCAATCACACCGTCGATGATCACGCACTGCAACTCTGTCACCACACTGTAGCCTACTCAAGGGCTTAGTAGACCTGTCGTAATAGTGCTTTTGTTTTAATTTCTGATTTTCTTTAAATTTAACAACTTTACGAGACCTGGAAACTTGCAAAAGTTTCTCCTGAATAGGGAGATTAGCGCGAATACGTCTGCCCATGAGAATCTCTGCAGGGGATTGCCCACAATCCAAAGGAGAGCTTCTGTAAGCAAGCGATCCCATATAAGGATCCTGATTTTCCTTAAGCAAAATGTTTTTCACAATCTGAACTGCTTTTTCTGCCAAACCATTCGATTGTGGATAATTTGGACTAGACGTGTTATGCTTGAATTGCCAATCATGTGCAAACTGTCTAAATTCATGACTACGAAACTGGGGACCATTGTCTGTAAATACCTCGTCTGGAATACCATGGCGAGCAAACACTGTTTTCATGGCGGTGATGACTCGACGAGACGACGTATCTGTCAATGAGCATACTTCCGGATAGTTGGAGAGATAATCTACAATCACCAGATAATCCTTCCCACCACAATAAAAGAGATCTGCTGCAACTTTCTGCCAAGGGCGAGAAACTGTCTGATAGGCTGCAAAGGTTCAGGCCACTGTCTGTTCCTGTAGGTTTGACACATAGAACAGTTGGACACAATATCATCAATGTCATGATTGAGTCTGGGCCAAAATACAGTTTCTCTGGATCTACGTTTACATTTTTCCATACCAAGATGACCAGCATTAATTTTGTCTAGCATGTACTTTCTCAGTGAGGTAGGTATTACTACCCTAACACCTTTGAAGATGACACCATCTACAACAGTCAAATCATGTCTGTAGTTCCAATACTCACGAAGATTCACGGGACATGAACTTCTATGCTCTGGCCAACCTGATTCAATAACTTCCATCAAAGCAAATAGCACTGGATCCTTGCTTGTCTCCTGACGTATCTCAGCATAGCGTGTCGTGGACACAAGGAGAGACGGGACGACCATGTCAACATAGGCTCATGTCAACAGACTAAAATCTTCCCAAAGATGGGAAATATATGCCCAATGTTAAAGATTAAAGTTGATTAGTTACATGCAGAAATATATGTCTAATATCATTGTTTTGAAACTCGTAGCGATTTATAATTACATTTCCTAAAATTGTTGTAAGCGCACGTACAATCTCCATAGCAAGCCCGCAAGATCGTCAGAAATGCCCTCAGTTGGAAACATGAGAGCCGTAATGTCAACAAACGCACGTGCGTGTATTTGAATCTCTCACCGTCAATCGCATGATTCTTATCGAAGACTTCATACCAGGCAGCAAAATCCTGTTAGCTAAGTTCTTTGTACTTTCAATATGACGATATATATTTTTCATGATTTTTTAAACAATGACATGATGCCATAAACGTTTTAAGTACTCGGGATAATGTTTACCAAAGCACCGCAGTCATTTACGCGCGTTCTGATGGGTTTGTCGTATTTTCGCACATAACAAGCATCGAGCGGGGGACGAGTGTTCTTAGAGGTTACGGAAAGGGGCGAGTGGTGACGAATGCACCTAATTCATTCTGGGAAGCGTCAGACGAAATCTTGATCTTCCTCCCAGGATCAAAGAACTTCAGGACTGGTTCCTGTGACACAACTTGCTTCAGAGACAACCATGTGTGTTCCTGTTGAGGTAGCCACTGAAAATCAACATCTTTATCCAACAATTGTCTAAGAGGTTGCGTCTTCTCTGACAAATGAGGGATGAATTTGCCTATAGTCCGTCAACTTAACTTTTGGCACCCTGTTTTTCGCATTTTACATAAAACTCCTGAATATTTTAAAACGCTACTCTGTTCATATGGTAATTGTATACTGCGACCTAACAAAATATCGATTTTAGTAATTCTAAAACGATTATTAAAGATTTTGCCTTTAAACCTGTCAGATAATAATTGTAAAACTGTGGAGAGTTTTACGAGGGGTTAACGTACGTGATGGAAAAGCCAACAACATTGTAAAATGTGTGTCAGCGTGATATGTACATGCACGGGTATTTACATTAGCACGCTCAGGTGATGTCAAAGATCGTAAACACACAGGTTGTGGTAAAAACGATGTTGTACAAAGATGGCCGGTAAATCATCAAAAGAGTTTACAACTTTTTTCAAGCGCAAGGCAAAGCGAAAAAAAACCCTCTTGTTTCAATTGAGTGTTTCTCCAAAAGACACGTAATGCCACCAACATCTGCAAGAGAACATAGCAAAGAGTTATCTCCCATGACACTATTTCAGAGACTGACGATTACATGACAGTTAAATCGGGGACCGTCTCAAAACATGCAAAGAAAAGATAGCTTGATGAATTCGATAGAAGGGTTGTGAGGGACGTCATGCGTCGGTTAAATCGACCCAGTGAGTCCATATCGTCAAGCAAACTGAAGAAAATATTGTTCAAAAGAAGACCATGACATCAATGTATCAAAGCATACCATATGAAAGCTGTTGCTCAAATTTGGATCTTGATACAAGAGCTTGAGCAACCAGTATTTAAAGACTTCAATAAATCTACTTGTTTAAAATGGATTTGTGATGTTTATACAGTCACTTCAGATTTATTTGCAGGCGTAACAATGTAAACAAGATGCACGCGTGTCACACCATGTTGTTTGCTGTTCCATCGTATCATTTTACTCCCTTGTATAACTACTTCTATTTTTCATATTTTTATAAGATGGCTTCTTAAGAAGAAACTTTAATAATTGTCATAAAATTATGAAATTTAAACCTTAGGTAGGTCATAAGATATAAAGAGCGTATGCCTAAAAACATTTTGAAGGCATTTTTGGTTAAAAGGTAAATTGTGAAAAACTTGGTGCCAAATGTTCAGTTGACGGACTATAGGTAGTTTATCATACCCAAAAACCTCTGGACATCTTCACACCATCACTGCTGATCACATAAACCAGGAAATGTCAACTCGGTGACCCCAAAAACACATTTGTCTGGGTTAAACTTCAAGTTATTCTGACGTGCGATATCGAGAACCTGAGAAAGATGTTTATCATGATCTTCAGGCGTTGAACCTGACACAATAATGTCATCCATGGAGGTATCTACACCTTCTACCGAATCAAACAAGGCGTGTATCGTCTTGTGATATACTTCTGGGGCAGAAGATATGCCAAAGGGGAGCCGTAAGAATCTATATCTTCCAAAGGGTGTTATGAATGTACAGAGATTAGAACTCTCCTGATCCAGCTTTAGTTGCCAAAATCCAGCTGATGCATCAAGTTTACTGAAATAACATGCATTCGAGAACTTTGCAGTGATTTCCTCTCGTATAGGAAGTTTAAAATGTTCACGTTTAATGGCCTTATTTAAGTCTTTAGGGTCGAGGCAGACTCTCAATTGCCTGTTTGGCTTTTCAACAATTGCAAGAGGACTCACCCAGTCCGTTGGCTCATTCACCTTGGTTATGACGTCAAGCTTCTCCATGCGGTTGAGTTCTTCCTTCAGTCTGTCATGCAAAGCAAAGGGTACTCGACGACATGCGTGCACAACAGGCGGAACATCATTGTCGAGCTTGATGTGGTGGACACCTGTCAGATCACCCAGACCCTGGAACACGTCTGCATAGTTCTGAAACACTACATCTCCGTCTAAAGGTAACTCAGAACCAACAGAGAGAACACGACGTACCAAATGCAGCTGGTCACATGCTTTTAACCCTACAATAGACTGAACATCTTCTGTAGTTACAACAAACATGAGATCAATTTGTGTGTTCTTGTGACAAACTGTAGCTGTAAACTGACCCATTACAGGAATATCAACATGAGAGTAACCAGTGAGTTTAGTTCTGGAGGGACGCAGTCTTGGCTTATCAAGTAGCCTGTTGAATCTTTCTCAGAAAGGATATTAGCTTGAGCACCTGTATCAAGTTTAAGTGGCAAGAACGTGTTATTGACTTGTAAGGAGACTATCCAATCTTTTTCAGAAACGACATCTGTATCAATTGAATCCACAAAGAGTTCATCTTGGGTTTCCTCAACAAAGTGAACTTTACTTTTTGATGACTGATTCTTGGACCTACAAACTCTAGCAAAGTGATTCTGTTTCCCTCATTTATCACATGATTTTCCAGATGCAGGACATGTTCTAGGAGCGTGTTTAAATCCACAATAGCCACATGTATCAGATTGCTCAGACGAACGGGAACCAGAACTCTGGGGCTTTTTTCTGTTAGATTTTCGATTGCCAGATTTTGATTGTTGTTCAACAGAATGTACCGATTGGGAGTCTAGTGGATGAATGTCCTTAACTTGGACTTTACTAGCTTCAGCAACTCTGCACATAGTAACAGTCTTATCTAAAGTCAAATCATGTTCACGCAAGAGCCTTTCCCTTAATGCATCACTTGCAATGCCACAAATTATCCTATCTCGGATGAGAGAATCATGCAAATCTCCAAACTCGCATGTTTTTGCTCGACTCTTTAACTCTGTAACATACTGGTCTATTTTCCCCCCTTCCCTCTGGCTACAGGTAGACGACTTTACCTTGTCACCTTTCCCGACCTTGTCAGAAGCAGTTATAAACAACTGAAACCGTTGCTAGAAGTTACGTCAGTTCTCCGCAAGAATACCAGTCAACAGCAAAGGCGAGGGTGGATGTAGTTTGTCAATTTTCTGACGAAACCACTCCTGACACCAAGTAACAATGTGACGCTAGGACGAGGACCAACAATAGACGACTGAACAGCAAAAGTTTAATTGAGACACTGAATGCGATGTGTACAAGGTGACGCGGTTCGCGAGAAGCACGTGCGAGGCAGGCACATCAGGGTAGGGGGCCGGGCCGGCTCGCCTGGCGCAGTATACATGTAGACTGTGTGCAAGTCTCTTATCATTACAATGGCACACCAGATGATTGATGGTAATTCAATACTTTAAGGTAGTCTAACGGGTGATACAAGCTTATATCTTGTATGATGACACACCAGATGATTGATGGTAAGTCAAGTCTTTAAGGTAGTCTAACAGATGATACAAGGTTATATCTTGTATGATGATACACCAAATGAGTGATGGTAATTCAAGACTTTAAGGTAGTCTAACAGATGGTACAAGGTTATATCTTGTATGATGACACACAAGATGAGTGATGGTAAGTCAAGACTTTAAGTTAGTCTAACAGATGGTACAAGGTTATATCTTGTATGATGACACACAAGATGAGTGATGGTAAGTCAAGACTTTAAGGTAGTCTAACAGATGATACAAGGTTATATCTTGTATGATGACACACCAGATGAGTGATGGTAAGTCAAGTCTTTAAGGTAGTCCAACAGATGGTACAAGGTTATATCTTGTATGATGATACACAAGATGAGTGATGGTAAGTCAAGTCTTTAAGGTAGTCTAACAGAGGATACAAGGTTATATCTTGTATGATGACACACAAGATGATTGATGGTAAGTCAAGTCTTTAAGTTAGTCTAACAGATGATACAAGGTTATATCTTGTATGATGACACACCAAATGAGTGATGGTAATTCAAGACTTTAAGGTAGTCTAACAGATGGTACAAGGTTATATCTTGTATGATGACACACAAGATGAGTGATGTTAAGTCAAGACTTTAAGGTAGTCTAACAGATGATACAAGGTTATATCTTGTATGATGATACACCAAATGAGTGATGGTAATTCAAGACTTTAAGGTAGTCTAACAGATGATACAAGGTTATATCTTGTATGATGACACACCAGATGAGGGATGGTAAGTCAAGTCTTTAAGGTAGTCTAACAGATGGTACAAGGTTATATCTTGTATGATGATACACAAGATGAGTGATGGTAAGTCAAGTCTTTAAGGTAGTCTAACAGATGATACAAGGTTATATCTTGTATGATGATACACCAAATGAGTGATGGTAATTCACGACTTTAAGGTAGTCTAACAGATGGTACAAGGTTATATCTTGTATGATGACACACCAGATGAGTGATGGTAAGTCAAGTCTTTAAGGTAGTCTAACAGATGGTACAAGGTTATATCTTGTATGATGATACACAAGATGAGTGATGGTAAGTCAAGTCTTTAAGGTAGTCTAACAGATGATACAAGGTTATATCTTGTATGATGATACACCAAATGAGTGATGGTAATTCAAGACTTTAAGGTAGTCTAACAGATGGTACAAGGTTATATCTTGTATGATGACACACAAGATGAGTGATGGTAAGTCAAGACTTTAAGTTAGTCTAACAGATGGTACAAGGTTATATCTTGTATGATGACACACAAGATGAGTGATGGTAAGTCAAGTCTTTAAGGTAGTCTAACAGATGATACAAGGTTATATCTTGTATGATGATACACCAAATGAGTGATGGTAATTCAAGACTTTAAGGTAGTCTAACAGATGATACAAGGTTATATCTTGTATGATGACACACCAGATGAGTGATGGTAAGTCAAGACTTTAAGTTAGTCTAACAGATGGTACAAGGTTATATCTTGTATGATGACACACCAGATGAGTGATGGTAAGTCAAGTCTTTAAGGTAGTCTAACAGATGGTACAAGGTTATATCTTGTATGATGATACACAAGATGAGTGATGGTAAGTCAAGTCTTTAAGGTAGTCTAACAGATGGTACAAGGTTATATCTTGTATGATGATACACAAGATGAGTGATGGTAAGTCAAGTCTTTAAGGTAGTCTAACAGATGATACAAGGTTATATCTTGTATGATGACACACCAGATGAGTGATGGTAAGTCAAGACTTTAAGTTAGTCTAACAGATGGTACAAGGTTATATCTTGTATGATGACACACAAGATGAGTGATGGTAAGTCAAGTCTTTAAGGTAGTCTAACAGATGATACAAGGTTATATCTTGTATGATGATACACCAAATGAGTGATGGTAATTCAAGTCTTTAAGGTAGTCTAACAGATGGTACAAGGTTATATCTTGTATGATGACACACCAGATGAGTGATGGTAAGTCAAGACTTTAAGTTAGTCTAACAGATGGTACAAGGTTATATCTTGTATGATGACACACAAGATGAGTGATGGTAAGTCAAGTCTTTAAGGTAGTCTAACAGATGATACAAGGTTATATCTTGTATGATGATACACCAAATGAGTGATGGTAATTCAAGTCTTTAAGGTAGTCTAACAGATGGTACAAGGTTATATCTTGTATGATGATACACCAGATGAGTGATGGTAAGTCAAGTCTTTAAGTTAGTCTAACAGATGGTACAAGGTTATATCTTGTATGATGACACACAAGATGAGTGATGGTAAGTCAAGTCTTTAAGGTAGTCTAACAGATGATACAAGGTTATATCTTGTATGATGATACACCAAATGAGTGATGGTAATTCAAGTCTTTAAGGTAGTCTAACAGATGGTACAAGGTTATATCTTGTATGATGATACACCAGATGAGTGATGGTAAGTCAAGTCTTTAAGGTAGTCTAACAGATGATACAAGGTTATATCTTGTATGATGATACACAAGATGAGTGATGGTAAGTCAAGACTGATAAGACAAGACAAGGTTATATCTTCTATGATTTGCTGGTAAAGACTTGACGTTAGGTGAGGTGGACTGAAATGGTGTTTACAGTCGCACAAGAGATTTCCCAAGCACATGAGTCTAAATTTTGCAATACCTTTTAGAAAAGGGTCAAATATAACATGTTATGTTTGGGATAACACTTTATTCGTTAAGCAAACAAACTTGTACTTATTCTGTTGAGTCCTAGCCTGGAATCGAAAACACATTCTGAGAGTGAGGCACAGCATCAACAGTAAATCAAACCATGTTGTCAATTACTTCATTGTCTGGCACAGGCTCAGTTATTTATTGACCGCCATCACATAGTTGGATAATGTATGATTGTGGCTTTCAATGGCAGGCAAACAAATAATTTTAAGAATTCAATATGTCTCCACCAGGGGATCCAGCAGGCTTCCTTGCTCTCTCAGGACAAAACGTCCACTACACCACAAGTGGTAAACACAGGCTTTAGATATTCTAACAGAATCTATAAATGACTTCTTTTTTCGATTCAGAAAGATACTGCTTTCGGTGGGTGAATACAATTGAAGAAAAGACAAATGTCATTCATTCACCAGGTTTTCCTGATCCTTATCCCAGGTAATTATATACTGCCAAATCCAAGGGTTTGTTTGTTTGTTTGTTTGCTGTTGCAAACTCCAATACTCCAGTTTATGACAAGGGACGAGGGTAGACAAGGGTAACTCAGTCACCCAAATGGTTCAATGGTTGACATCATAAGTGTCAATGTGAGGAACTGGGATACGATGACATGCATCTAGCAACATCAGAGGTTTGTTTGCTTGTAATATTATACCACCTTAGGCAATATCGAAGCAATATATCGTCCGTCTGTGAATAATCGAATCAGTACTGGACAATCCAGTAATTGACATCTTGACTATTTGTATACGCATTTGGGAAATGATAACATGAATCAACCAATTAGTGAACCTGACCACGTGCACCAGATCCAGTTAGTTGCCTGTTATGACAAGCATGGGTTTCGGAAGATCAATTTAAACCCGTGTCTTCAGAGTTTGAATGTCTCAGGTAACTATGGTAACTATCTTCAGCCATATGCTGAGAGAACATACTCAACTGTATCGCAGGCAACTATCATAAGCCCTTTACCACATAACACAGGAGAAGAATATTCAAAAATGTAACTAAATACACTTTTCATACACATCTTAAGCAAAGAACACTGGTGGTGTTCGGTGTGATAAGACGG